AATTACAGCGTTGGTGTTTACGCGGAAGGAGCAAATTTGACTACCCCAACGCCGGCTCAGATTCACTCCAACGCTGTAAGGAAAGACGAAATGGTGTGCAAGTCGGGCGCTAGCTGGTGCCAAATTGGCGCAAGCCGCAGAGGCGTCCAGGCACCCGTTTGGACGGCATGAGCGACAGCAGGGTCTGCCCACCCTAAGCGACTCAAGGGGTCGCTGAGGTTTTGTTGGGAGGGGACCCACTCAAACCAAGGGTTACATCGCAGGCGAGCAAATTGAAGGCCTGCCAGCAGGGACAAGTGACCAACGTCCGCAGCTGAGGAGGCAGATCGAATGATAGCTCGCCAGGCTGCTTGGTTGTCAAGGAACCACAGGACGTCACGATTTCTGAGAAGCTCTGGAGCAGATACTGCGAGCAAAGGAACGGCGAGTAGTTCAAGTAGGTTGATGTAAGTCCGGCGAGGTGCCCAGGTCACAACAACCTCTTTGGGAACATCAATGCTGTCAACCCAAATACGCTCATCACACAAGATCCAAATGCCTAGGCGGAAGCCGAGCGGAGTTGGCGCAGCAGTGGATGCGTCAGTGTAGACGATGACGGGTTCCGTGAGTCGGGGGTATACGGGCACACGGCGAGATGGTACGATCGAGAGGGCCAGCTGCAAGTACTGAAGGCAGAGTGCCAAGCTGGGAGTTAACGCATTGGTGTGGTCGAAGTACTGCCGGGCGATGAGGCCGGAGAAGGCAGCCGTAAGAGGTTTGCCCAAGAGCGACATTTCTAACCAATTGAGGAGGCCACGGGCCTTAGCGGCTTCAGCAGGTGTGACACGACCACTGGACAAGAATGCGGACAACATCCGCAGCGCTCGCTGTTTCGTTTCAGGACAAGATGTGAGGGTGACAACATGCTCGTCATTGAGACGGGAGAGGTCAGTGACCATTCCCAAAAAACGGGGCATGGAGGTCATATGTTGGCGCTTATGGTGTCCTATGAGAACGCCAAAAGTCTCCAAAATGCGGATGAACAGAGTCTTGTGAGCACCAGCGAGGTGGGCATACTCAAACTGTATAGAATCATCAAAATAATGTCCGGCAACCATCGAAAAAACACGACGACAAACAGCAGTGAAGAGTTGCGGGGCACGATTAAATTGATTGACGGCCGACGCAAGGCCGAATGGCAGACCGTATAACTGAGCATAGACACGTTTTTTGGAATGTGGATGAACAAAAGTGATGATGTTTACACACATATGATCTTTCAAGGGATGGTTTTGGCGGTAGCCCTTCCAAAGGTCTTCCGTGCCAGCCACAACCTCAAGCCAAGGCATATGTTGAGGTAAGTCGCTGGGGGAAGCTGCCGGGTGGTGAGACCGAAGAAACTGTAATGCATCCTGGTACCAAAACTTAACAACAGCTAGAGGGAAGTCAGGTCTTTGGTTGACAATTGCCTCGTGAAGCTGGGTGCACTCATTGTGCCTCCCGGTTCTACCATCGTCCACTGGGCGTTCTTTGTCATGCTGGTGAACTGTGTGGCGTTTCAAGGGGCGCCATTGACCGATACCATAGAGATTATCAAAAAAGGCTCGACTGTGGAACGACCCCAAAAGACCTAAATCTTGTTCTTTGGTACTTTCTTCGAGAATGATGGCAGCGGAGGGGTGAACACGAAGGTCAGATTCGAGCGCATCAACATAAGATATGGCATCATGTCCCAGAAGAGCTACCTCAGGTAAGGGCTCAGGAGACGTGGGCCTGAATATCCCAGACGGAGGGATGCTTCCAACAATCGGAAAACCCCGACACAAACACTCTGGCAAACCACGGTCAGGCCAGTCCAAAATACTGACCAGTGCGGCCGTCAGGGCGGGACGGAAACCGGGAACGTGGTGGACATGTCGAGCTGCTAACAACACATTATCTATGGGAAGCAAAGCTCGCCCCAGGGAGCGGAAAGCCGCGTAACTCTCATTGCGGACCCGCATGATATCCAACCCTGCGCAAACAGCCTCATGCACCGCGAACTGCAAGTCCTTTTCCAGCAAAATTTCTTGTGCAAAAGGGCTAGACAAAGCGAGGGCTGCTTGCAAATGCTGCCTGGGAGGCAAAGACACGTCAATGAAGGGGTCGACCATAGAAGCACGGGATTGTTTCATAGAACGTGCAGGGTCGAAGTGTCGCAGGGCTTCCCAGTCAAGGCCAAAGGGGTTGTCAAGACCATGTTGGGCCGCCCAAACGTGGAAACGTTGGAAAGGTTCTAAGGGAACAGTCACAAAGGATTTCCATGCTGTAGCTATGACCTCATGAGGAATGTCCGACATAGGCAAAAGGGATAATACATCACGAAACCAAGATTCCGAGGGCTTGTCAGCGCCAGGAGAAGGAGAAGCTGCAGGGACGACCTCACTGCTGGTCAGGCCAGCAGTGAGGAGTTGTCCCTAGCCCCGAGACTTCTTGTTGTGGTTGAGGGCGTGGTGTTGCCAGGCTCCGCAAAAACCTCCCTCAACTGGAAAGGAGCACCGATGGAGCTTCTTCTCACTGCATTCGGCTTGGCGACGAGTACACTGTCCCTTGTTCCACTTCTCGCACAGGTCCTTGGCGGAAATGGTCTTCCCTGTGGATGTGTCGACCTGAGAGGACCCAGCCCGGTCAACGCGGAGGCGTTTCGGCGCTGGGGGCTCAGGAGGCTTGGAGGACAAGGCGTCATCCACAGCACCAACGCCACTACCCCCGACCTGCCATAGGACTGCTGTCTTGGATTCATAGGCTGTTTTGAGAGCTTCACCCAAGGGCCATTCGTCTTGGTACAAGGTGATGGCGGCCAAGCGTGTTTGGCGATCTCGGTCGAGGAACCATTGGATGGCCTGCGTCACAGTTCCGGGGTAGCGCCGAAGGCGCTCTGCAGCAAAGGTGCGGTAGGCCAGGTTGTCGGACATGGAGAACTCCAAGACTTTGGTTCCCGGGAGTAACTTTGAGTCTCGCTCTGCTGTGCCAGCCATGGCCCAGCTGTTGAGGAGAATCTCATGAGCACGAAGCAAGCTGATGAGGTCTTTGAAGCTGACGGCCGGAGGCTCAGCCTTGAGGACCACACGAAAGTCCCCGAGTTGCTTTACCTCGGTAGCTGGTGCTGTCGAGGATTCAGCTGCACTTTTCACACGAGCCAAGTCATCGAGCTCTTTGTGTTGTCTGCGAAGTTCGCGAAAGTGCCGCGCAAACAAAGTGGCTGCAGGGAGAAGGTCAGGAGGAAACCTGACATTGTACTTGGCGAAGAAAGCATCTTCTTGGCGTTGCCGAACTTCTGGCGGAAGAGGGGCCTCGAGGTTCTCTTCTTGTGGGCCAGAGGAGGTGGCGCTCAAGTCTTGCTTGGCTCGGGCCCATGCCACGCGCAAGCGGGCAAGCTGGATTCGATTGTCCTTGAAGGTCTCAGTTTTCTGGAGAACTTCTTTCAGCCCGTCTTCATAGTCAGCCTCGGTGTACAGACCCACAAAGTCTGCTACGCTCTCACACCCCATGTGCTTGAGAGAGTGAAAGACTTCTGCGGCGACCTTGTGTTCATTGACGAGCAGGAGCTCGAAGCGCTCCACGCCAGAAGCCATGTCAGAGACGGAAAGCCACGATTTGAACGGAAACTGCGGGTGACAGGAGGCACAATATGCGTCACCGCCCGAAACCCGGAAAACAAATTTAAAAAAAAAACATGTGCAAAACTTCAAAGCACTTGAAAACGTGAGCGCAGCGACCCGGTGTGTGCCTGTTTCTGCGCAAGCGGCTAGCCGGATCACGAGCGGGGCGTTGCCCGGGACAGGATGGCCAGCCGAGTTTCGGGGGCCACTTTGAGGAGACACGGCGCACAGAACTTTCCATGAAGGTCCAGCGCGGCCGTGAGCCCAGTGGCCCACACAATACCCTGTTGACGGAAAACACGACTGGAGCACAGCGGTGTGAGACTTTGAGGTTCTGCAGCAGCATGCCAGAGGCCTTTGGCCGGGCACACAAAGCAGACGGACTCCGGATCGGTAGGAGCATCACCGGCCGGGGCCAGCAGATACTCCGTAGAGGCATCACTGGAAGGGGAATCAGAGCCTCCAGAGGAAGATGCTCGCTCCGTGGACACCGGGCTGCTTTCAACAAGATCCGGCTCCGGGATGGCACGCACGCCAGGACCCCAAGAGGAGGTGGCGATGTTCGACCGCAAGCGAGCGACATGGGGGGCCACCGCACGGAGGCCAGACCATGAGTCGCAAAGCGGCGCGTGTTTAAGCAGATGGTGGACCGAGGCTAAGCACAGCCGCCGAACCTGCGCAGCAGACTCCAGTCGCTCCGAGCTGTACCGAACAGGAAGAGGCAGCTTGCGGCCATCGGACCAATTGCCCAAGCAGAGGCGATCAGAGTCGCAAAGCTGGAGGGCATCCGCAACGGTTGGAAGGAATCGACGAAAACTACGTGTGGAAAAAGTTGAAGCCGCGTGCTCAGTCAGCGACAGGGGTGGCAAATGCAACAGGGAGCGGGCGAAGGCCTGGAAGCGGGGATAATCCGCAGGCGCAGACCGGAGCACCACACTCCCCTGAGCATCAAACCACATGTCTGGTAAGAATGGTGTTCCGACGCCTAAGATAGCACGCACTCGTGCCTGCACATGGCTCAGTAGAGGATGTCCCGGTTCAACGTACATCGGCAGAGCGACAGCAAAAGGCATACCATCCTTTCCGTGAGAGACCTTCCAGACACCCGTGCGTATCGAAGAGAGCTCGGGCTCAAAACTCGCACGAGCGCAGTGTTTGAACCTCAGGCCAGAAACTGCGAAGCGAATGACCAAGCCAGCGGCCAGGGCAAGGGACGACGTAGAAGAGGATGTGGCCAACTGCAGCAAATGCCTCCAAACTTGAGCAGACAAAGTTTTCACTTGCGTAGGCCAGGTAGTGGTGGCACCGGAAGCGGCAGTAAAGTCTTTCAACATTGGCGAGTCCAGCGGGAAGGAGACTTTCAAGTTGTCAGTGAGCCATCGTAGGTGGTTGTACACTGAAGCTGGTACTGTGCGACCTCTGCGTCCCTGCGCCTGAAGGAACTGGTGGAGAAGGACATCACTGACTGGTCCCAGGGCGGCCTCGGTCTCAAGCTGCCACTGCACAAGCCGGTTCCAAGTCCGAAGGACAGCAGCGAGCGTTCCAGGCTGAAAGCGCGCGAGCGGTGACTGAAGCCTGAGTGAGCGGAAATGCATGCCAGTGAGATTCAGTGATGGAGTGTGCACCCAGCGCCTGCCAGGCCTAAACACACCTAGCACTTTACTTGAGTCACACAAGTTGCAGGGAGGCATCAGAACGAGGATGAACGAGAGGGTGAACGAGGTCAGAACCCTTGCCACCAAGGAAAGCCCTCAGAATGAAAGCCTAGTTACCTCATCATGTATATGCTCTCGCCATCTCTCGCCTCTGTCCTTCTTTCTTTCCTTCCTTCCTTCTTTCTTGTCTCCCGGCTTGTCTGCTGTGATCGGCGTTTTGTCTGCCGCTGCTGCCTTGTCTCCTTACTTGTTTCCCCACCTGCCTCCCCACTCGTTTGCCTGTGCGATCGGCATTTTGCTTGATCGTCGCTTTGCTTGCCGCTGCTGCCTTGTCTTCTCCCCAACTAAACGCAACATCGCCACGACTTCCATAGATTCCAATCCCCAAGTAAACGCTTCAAACAGTGAATGTCGCCACGACTTCAACATTTGAGAGTATGGGGTGGTTGCCAATTTTGACCCCGGCGTTACCCAGCAAAGACATCCCACCAAGCTCTTCCCTCCGACTTCATGGGAATGTTTGCATGTAGGAAGAGGAAACCAATGGAAACCACCACAGAAGGTCGACTTTGAACATGCTTGCAGCTTGCAGTACCATTGTTCCTGGAGACCCAATTCTTGGAGACCCGGAATGATCAAGAATGTCTGTTGTTTTTGTTGGGTTCAAGCATTCTTTTGCAAGTGCGCTTGGACCATGTTGGGCCCACGGGTCACACCAACCGGCTCACACAGCCGCACCCACAGCCGTCGACGATCGTGGCGGTTGGGACCACGGTCTCGACGGGGTTTGGCGGGTTCGGTTCAGGCCCGAAGGTGACCGGACACCTCCCGAGCTTCACGGTGCGCAGCTGAAGAGCGTCCCACCCAGCTGAAGAGTGTGTGAAGTTTCGGATGACTGTTATCACCCTGATGTGAAGGGCCTCACATGGCCTCACCCATGTAAGAAGTCACTCAAAGCTCTTCGACACCCGGGCTCGCCCTCGTCGCCCTGGCCCTGCCTGATCTTTTGGATGTGGTCCTTGGTTCGCCGCTCCAGCGGTGCGAACAATGCGTGGCGTTGGGAAGCTGCGAGGTCACAACAAAGCCAGAGAACAGGTGTCAAAAGAACAAGAAAGGATTCCCAGACCCCTCACTTACACCACTTGGATTTTCTCTGTGTTACATTGCTACACCAAGTCTGTGAACAGGAGTATAAAACTGGTGAGTAGGAGGGCTGCGACTTGGGTCATGCCCACTGGCCACCTAGTTGTCATTGTAAACACCTCAAATCGCCATCCGCGACCCCGACCGTCCACCTACTCAGGGCCGGAGAAAATTGCCAAAAGAGACAATTGGAAATGATACATTTAAGCGCGGACCCACAAAAAAAGAAGAGTAATACAGTAAAACTCCTTGAATCTCCTTGAGCTTTTCTAAAGTTCGTTTCCAATTTCAAAATGATCAACGACCAGTCTGCACATATCCTTTTGTAAGTCGGACCTGCTCTGTTCACTGCGAAACGGGTACACCTCCTCCAAGTCCACCGCATGGGACACGAACGGCTCGAAATCCAAAGCAACTGAGTTCATGAATCAACAGCACCCATAGGATCCCATAGTGTATGCGCCAGTTGTGACACGCGACTTTATACCCATATAATACATATTATATATATATGTATTGACATGTATTGACGTTTTTTTAAATCAAACTCTCTGCTTGAAACGTGTGGTCCAAGAGCGAGCGACGATAAGCGAGCGTGCGCTTTGACAAGCCATCTGCCGAGCGAGGAGCCGATCCATCTCTCTTGCTGGTCATCTTTTGAAAGTCCACGGAGATCTGTCGAGAGTCGTCCCCCGCACACGGGCAACTTGTTCGGAGGCCCAAACGCCCAACGCCAAACGCCCACGAAGTTCCACGAAGTTCCACGAAGTTCCACGAGGTGCTGGTTTTCATGGAAGTTTTTAGGATTCCTGTCTTGCAGCCCACGAACCCATCGTACCATCACTCCGATTCAGATCGTTGTTTCCTCACTCCGAGGTGTCGAGCGACGGGCGGAAAACCAATTGGTCACTGCTCAATGGAGCTACGGTCAAAACCACTGGTGACCTTATATCATATTATCATATAGCTACGTATTATATATATATTCATATGTTAATATGTCCTAAAAGCTCGGCTATATCGCAATGATATAGATATAACATTGTATAAAGGATGATTCTAATCCCCACGGGTGACCATCCGTAGCGCCGTCGTAGCTCAATTGGGGTCCCGAGATGTTGGAGATTCACACTCCTGTCGATCCGATTCATGGTCGGTCATATACATCTTCGACCACTGCAAACGGCCAACCCGGCGACATGTATGTTGGTCAAAAATAAATAAATATATATATATATTGGAATAAACAGAACGAATCAGAATGATGTAAATGTCCGATGTCATCAATGTTACCTTTCTAGTGTGGCTTATGGCCTAAAGGGTTTAGGTCGTGACCCACATGTCGTCAAAGCTCCGCACCCTGAAAAAAAAGAAACTGGCTGGATTGGAATCCGGTGTCCTGGTTCCTGCCCAAACTCCAAAGCTACAGGAAGATCAACAACTTCGGAAATCCATTGTGATCTATTCTGATCAGTGACTCAAAGAACAAGGAACAGTAAGGAACCTAAAAAGTCAGTTCCACCCATCATCACCGTTGAAACGAAATCAACCAGGAACCTTCTGGAGAGAGTTTCTCAAGTTGCCGAGGACGAACTCGCCAGGATCGCGCCTGGATACCCTTAGTCCTCACATTGACCCGATTCCTGGCAGTCTCAAACCAAGTAGGGCGAGACATGAACGGAATTTCCTCCTGCGCGATCCTACTTTGATGTAAATGGGAATGTTCCGGATTGACACCTCGCGTCTGTGCACGCGGAGCGCGCGATTGGTCACCGCGCAACGTGCACGCGCATAAGACACAAAACAGGTGCCCCCACAAGACACAAATATTGGATTAAGATCCCCCTGGGAATTACGTCTCTAACCCGTATCTCCTATTTTATAGCTAAAAAACGGTATTTTTGACTAGGAGGTACCCCTGAACCTCTATCGAATTGAAAAATCCCTCACTATAAAATGGGGACCAGAGTTAGAGGCGTGGGAGCATTAAAGCAGTTAGACCTTCAATAAAATGCAACACCAAGTCCATGAACACTGATGTCTGGATCCCATGTTGATTTTATAGAGGGGTCATTTATAGTTAAAAAAGGAATGTTTGTCACAGAATGTGTGTCCTATTCTGTAGAGAATTCCTTCTTGAACACGACCTCATCAATACGAATCATCGATACGACGACGAGTACAAGCAATCACGAAAATTCATCGATACAAATAATCTCAAGATATTCCTTTTGTCAAGCTTTCCTGGTTCCAGTTTCTCACAGAGTGGACACGCACCCACACGCAGATCAAAACCATCCCCAAACAATGACTGTGAATAATGTTTCAATATTTTGAAAAGTATTTTAGTGTGTATCAATGTGGTTAATCTAATTAGAAAGTTGAACCATAGTTTTAAAGAGAACCAGAATCTCTATAAAATTGACATCCATTATATACTGTTCATTCATGTCCACAAATCCGTATAAAAATTGTTGCGTCATTTGCATGAGTTGCCTTGATCTAGTTAGAAGATTCATAAATTCAGCCTACCATAGTTTTCAAGGGGGACCACAATTTCTATTAAAATTGACATCCACTACTTTTCATTCATTCCCACAATTCCTGTATAAAATTGTTGTTTCATTTGCATGAATTGGGTTGATCTGGTTAGAAAATTGAATTCAGCCATCAAGGGAACCAGAATCTCTATAAATTGACATCCACTATGTTTCACTCATTTCATTTCCACAATTCCTGTATAAATTTGTTTTCTCAAGTTTAAGTGACTACAGAATTAAATCACTATCCATAGTGTTCTAGAACATGCCAAACTCTAGACAATTGAGGTTCTAATTTTGGGGGGTGCTGTCCCTGCATTTATTCCAAAATAGTTTTGTTGACAAATGCCAAACAATTATTCAATTCTTAAAGTGCTGGGATGATTAAGGCAAAAAACAAAAACCATTGCCACTATAAAATACAAAAAGGAACCCATACACATTTACCCTTTTCAGGGTGGACCCCCCAAAACAATTATCTTGCGGCTATAAAACGGTTTCCGCGCGGGACCTAGGTCCACTATTTTATAGTTGTTTTTCCCCACAGGGATGGATTAAGTATATACATTGGTACGGCTTTGCTTCGCTTAAAGTAGCTGCAGGATGAAAACACATTCGATCTGCGGGCTGAATAAAGAAAGCTGGCATTGAAGCCAACGTAACTATCTACAGTTGTTGAAACGATTCGTACAACCCAAGTAAAAGCTCTGACGACATGACTGGATCCAGGCTACCGAGGATGAACGTGAAAGCTAAGTTAATGCCAAAGAATATCGTGTCTAGGGCTAGGTCCTAGGTTATCCTGCAGCGCGTATAAGTAATGAGTGGAGTGTCCCACTGCAATTGGCAATGGTGAACGGTTACATGCAACTGGTTTCGGCATGCGTGACTACACGTAGCATTCAATGACCACGCTCCACTCCAGTCAACTTCGCAAGATTTTCCGCGCGCGTACAAAAAGGCTCATGCTGCGGCTCGCCTCTTCCTCACGACAGGTTGCGTGTCAAACACATGAACCAGCCGTTTCACGCACAAAGGATCAAAAGGCATGGTCTGGTGCAGGTCCTCCACCTGGGCTAGCGGAAGGAGGCCCGGGATCTTCTCGTACACCACGTCCAGGTTTCCATCCTTCGTCAAAAAAACAAAGTTCAAAAAATCAAGATTTGCCTCTGCTTGACCTCTTTGGCGGCGTAGAGACTGTCGAGGATCTCCTGGTCCTGTTTTGTCAATTGCATGTTCGAATGCTTCAATTCCAGCAACTTGTTCGAGCGTTCCTTCTTCGCTCGCAAGGCCAGTTTGGTCAAGTCGTCGTTGAGCTTCCTCACAAATGCTTGACCTCAAGAAGGGGCACACGATCGATTCCATCCAAGCGTCGGTCCTTTTGAGCTTAACCTCCCAGATTCTACAGGGTGTATGGGGTCCTGGGCTGGAATCCCCCTTAGTCCTGCGAGAGAGCTCGAATCCGCTTGGTTGAGCGTTCGCGTGGTCCTGCTTCGCCTTTCCTATAATATAGTAATATGCATTTAAGAAAATAACTGCATAAAAAATAAAGCAATAAAAAAACACTCCGTAGTTTTTGCAAAATTTAACTGAAAGTATGTTCTCAATATTAATTTACATATGTGCGCTATAGTTATTCGATCGATTTTTCCCCAATAGCCATGCTATGGGGTCTTCTTGCAAAACTAATAGGCGGACGGGCGCCGTCGGGTCACCGTCAGAGCTGGTGGGCGGATGGTGTCCCGGTCATGTTTTGATGGCGTCCGGGTCATGTGATGCTGGTGTCCCGGTCATGTTTTGATGGTGTCCCGATCATGTGATGGTGGCGCGGTCATGTTGTGATGGTGTCCCGATCATGTTTTGATTGTGTCCCAGTCCTGTTGTGATGGTGTCCCGGTCGTGTGTTGATGGTGTCCCGGTCATGTTTTGATGGTGTCCCGGTCATGTTGCGATGGTGTCCTGGTCATCTTGTGATGGTTTTCCCGTCATGTCATGTTGGTGTCCTTGTGATGGTGTCCCGGTCATGTTGTGATTGTGTCCCAGTCATGTTGCGACGGTGTCCCAGTCATGTCATGATGGTGTCTCGCTTATGTTGTGACGGTGTCCCGGTCATGTTTTGATGGTGTCCCGGTCATGTTGTGATGGTGTCCTGGTCATGTTTTGGCGGTGTGCCGGTTCTGTTTTGATGGTGTCCCGGTCATGTTGTGATAGTGTCCCGGTCATGTTGTGATGGTGTCCCCGTCATGTCATGCTGGTGTCCCGGTCACCTTGTGATGGTGTCCCGGCTATGTTGTGATGGTGTCCCAATCATGTTGCGACGGTGTCTCGGTCATGTTTTGATGGTGCCCTGGTCATTTTGTGATGGTGTCCCGGTTATGTGATGATGGTGTCCAAGGAAGAGATGGTCGATGTGTTGTAAACAGCAGCTGTTTCCAGATTTTTCTTTTTGCCCCGGTTTGTATCTTGCTATTGGGGTCTCCAGCTGGGCTAATTTGAGCATATATGTTGTAAAACAAAATGTATTTCATATTCTTGGTTGGGTTTTAAAAAATGTGTGTGTGTGTGTTATATATGTGTGTTCATTAGTTTTTGTAATATGCATTTTTTGAGCTTTGTATAACTTCGCAAACTTGTCCTCCTAACAGTCCAGCTGGAGAGGGTAACGGTTGCATCAACATGCTGAATCAACACCTTGGGACGCTGGCTGAGTGCGGTAAACACCTACCTCTCAACCCATCATGTTTTGTTGATTCCTGCGATCTTGTGGAACACCGTCGCCAAACCCACGATACCCTTTAGGCTGCTAAGGTGTTGGATTCTAGCGTCTTTGGGGCATCGACATATGATCAGCAACTATTGAGATCCCTCGACAAGGAAGCAGCCCAAAACCATGAGCTAATCATCTCGCAAAATCCAAACCCTGATGTCCACATCCGAGCAAAATGTTTTCACCCCTCGCGACTCACCTGCTGCAGACCGTGCATGTTTCGCAGCGGTCCGCACGGGTCGTGGTACACCACCACGTCGCCCGCGACGTCCTGGCCGGGGCGCTGCCCTCGGCCGCCGAGCCCACATGATGCTGAAAAGGCGTGAGAGGCCCAACCTGGAGGTGCTGTTCGTGCGCTGGACCTCAGTAAAGCCAACCACAGCAACAGCAACAGCAACAACAACAACAAGCAGCAGCAGCAGCAGCAACAACACTAACAACAGCAACAAACGACAAACAACGAAACAAACAACGTACAACAAACAACAGACAACAACCAACCAACCACCAACAACCAACAGCAACAACAACGAACAACGACAACAACAAACAACAAACAACCAACAACAACTATTACTACAACTACAACTACAAAAGCAACAACAACAACAACAACAACAACAACAACTGCAACAGTAGTAACAACAGCAACAACAGCAACAGAAACAACCACAAACAACCAACAACAACCACAACAAAACAACAACACACAACCCACAACCAACAAAAAACAACAACAAAAAAGCAACAACAAACAACAAACAAACAAAAACAACAACAACAACAACAAGAAAACAACAGCAAACAACAAACAACCAACAACAACAACAACAACAGCAACAACAAGAAGAAGAAAACATCAAGAAACAACCAACCACCACAAGAAAACAACAACAACAAACAACCAAGAACAACAACAACAACAAAAAGAAGACAACATCAACAAACAACCAACAAACCAACAACAACAAAACAACAACAAACAACCAACAACAACAACAGCAACACCAACAACAAGAAGAATAAGAAGAAGAAAACATCAACAAACAACCAACAACCAACAACCAACAACAACCACCACAAGAAAACAACAACGAACAACTAAAGAACAATAACAACAACAGCAGCAACAACAACAAAAAGACAACATCAACAAACAAAAGCAACCAACAACAACAACCTAAAGAAAACAACAACAAATAACAAATAACAAACAACCAAAAACAACAACAACAACAACAACAGCAACAACAACAACAACAGACAACAACAACAACAACAAACAACCAACAAGAAGAAAACAACAACAAACAACCACCACCATCATCAACAACAACAACAACTTCAACAACAACTGCAACAACAACAACAACCAACAACAACAACAAGAAAACAACAACAAACAACAACCACCAACAACAACAACTTCACCAACAACAACAACAACATCAACAACAACACCAGCAACAACAACAACAACAAAAAGAAAACATCAACAAACAACAAAAAACAATAACAAGGGCAACCTCAACAAACAGGAAACAATTGCGCCGAGTCGCAATGGTCTCAATTTGAGAAAGTGGCACTCGCAGCCGGGAACAAATACCGTGGCGTCTGCACGGCGGCCAGCGAGCAGGAGGAGGCCAGCCAGGCAGGCATCCCCTGCTGCTCGGCAGCTCGGCAACGAATGCACGGACGACGTGGCGGTCAGAAGCTGCGCGCGCAGCTTCAGCGGCCGCGAGCCGCGCCGCGTAAGGGACCACGCGGCGCGCGCGCCGCGTCAGCAGCGGAGTGGCCAGGTGGAGACGGTGGCGGGGCGCAGCCAGGCGGCGCATTCCACGCACCTGCAGTCACGGTTTTGGCTTGGCAGCAGTAGTCGGCGTCGTAATAGTATAGCGGCGGTGGTAGTAGTAGTGGTAGTCGTCATCGTCGTGGTGCCAGTATGTAATAGAGGTAGTAGCGGTGGCAGTAGTACCAGGGACGACCCTAGATTTTTGAGGCGATTTTAGATTGAAGGCGCATGGCCCGGCCGATCGGGAGCCCAACTTCTTTTTTTTCAAGAATCAGATGATCCAGTTGTCAGCGATTGTTCGCGCTGTTGTTCGCGAAAGCAAGAATTGAAACCGGTGGTTAGAGTACAGTGTTGTGACGATACCCTCCATGCCACGCACTCTCACCGCAGGTGATCTATCTCGGCTTTGGCCAGCCACGCCGCCCTTGGCCGCTGCCGCTTGGACGCTGGGCGCGTGCAAGTTTTTTGAGTGTTAGGGGAAGCTGCAGACGATAGTCTTGGGATAACTATTCAACCAAACTTGGCTGTGGGATTTGGTGCCAAAAGAACGGTAGGCAGCCGTGTTCAATTTACCACCCAGATGGGCACTCGATGAAGATGCTATATACTATATTGTCATTGTTTTTGGGCGGTTTGCAGGGTGTCTCCTGCGCCGGCACCAGGGACGAGACCGGGACGTCCTCGTCGGTCAGCAGGGTGGAGACCGGGACGTCCTCGTCCGTGAGCCGCGTCAGCTGCAGGCAAGCCACTGCCAGCTCTTCGTCCGACATGGCTCTGGCTGCGCGGAAGTTGCGTGGACTTAGTGGACTTGAGCCCATAATTATTGCACTTTGGCCGCGTGCATGCCTTAGTGCAGGGCTATGTTCGAGTCACATCCACAAGTCACAGGTATATATATATAAATGGAGATGAATGGAAACACACAACCTTGATATATGGTACTTCGTTCGCAAACGCTTCCCGAAACCGCCACATACACGGCATCAGTACCAAGCCGCGGCATACCACACGGCACGCAGTACGCACGCGAGATTCGGTACCAGATCGGTCCAGGTCTGATGGGGTCCAGGTCTGAGTGGCTGTTTCAGCCCAAAACCACACGTGTCCTGCTGGTGCAAGGGTAACAGTGGATGATGGGGCCGGGTTGCAGGCCGACCTCTCTAAACTAGTGATGTCCTTGTTTACCGACTGTTGCAGGTAATAAGACCAACCCCCAAAAATACGAACCATCTTACTCATACAGTCTCTACGGTCTTTAGTACCCCTTCGATCATTACCCATCTTCACATCGTGCTCAGGCAGCGGAGTTGCACAATAGACTGAAAGAATGAAACCCCAGCACAAAGCATCCCTGGCAAATGATGGCTTGGAGTCTTGCAAACATCGCACCCATGATGGCTTCGAGCCTGCCACTACCAGACTGAAATTCCTGGCAGGAAAAGTGCAGCGACAGCTTCAAAGGCAGTCTACAGAGTCTACAGAACGACAAAAATGATGACCTGTCTAGTGATCCTTGTTGCTGCACGACGATGCGATATGATTATATTGTCGGATTGTTGGATTGAAGAACATCTAGAATCTACAATCTACAAAACCAATATGATTGATCAGTAGAACTCCTCAGTCCTCAATGGATTGAATCTATAGAAAACCCTCGTGACAGTCAGAAACCACAAACGACCTGACCGATTACTTTTGCCTTTGCAGCGTACTTATTGGAGATGTTCTTAGTTCATTGACCATCTGCCAGTCCTTTGCCACACCAGCGCTGGACCTCATCTTTACCACTGTCCGTGGAGCTTGCCTGGTACTTCCTCTCCATGTAGTCTTGGCAATCTCCATCATAAGCCTGCGAAGCCAGGCTATCGAGACGCCAGTCTATCGTGTGGCCATGTGTGGCCCCTTTTTGCCGACGCATCCGCAAAGGCGTGAAGGGAAGATGAATCCAGGACCCAACGAGTTGGAAAAAATCAACAAGGCCGACCAAGGCCTATGCAAACAATGACTTCTTCAACTTCTTTGATCAACGGCACTCCCAAAGTGCCAGCTTGTCAGAAGAAAGCATCCAACATCGTCAAAGATAAACTTTGGGCATATCATGGATTGAGCAAAAAGTCCCAAATCACAGCTTCAGAACTGAGAACCATGGTAAGTAGACTATAAGATCACGAACTTGAACTCCTGGCGAGCTCCATTCGCACTTCCACGGACCCGCTCTTCACCCATCCCATCACCCCCTGGGCATTTCCTGGGCAAGTCCTGGGCATCCCCGGCCGAGTAGTGCCCCTTCCATTCGAACTCCCAGACCACGCGCCCGGCGGTTCGACCTCCCCGGCGCTTCGACCCAGATGTTCATGCGGAACGGGGCGGGGCAAGATGAGAAGAGTGGGAATTGGAGGGAACAACAGAAAAGTATAGAAAAGTTGGATGGCTTGGGTGCAATTTTTGATCTCAGTTTTTGCCCCTGGATGGGAGTTCCATTCCAGTGGGTCGCCGAGACGACTCTCCTGGGATAGCGGTCGGAGGAGGCACCCGAAGCACGCAAAATCGACTGACACTAGAATGCAAATCCATGTGCTCCCCAGACATGTCTTAAGAGTATTTAAGAGTGGGTTAAGCCACAGGCTAAGGTCCAACTACATGGTCCGCCGGGCGTAGATGGCCCGGTGGTTTCGGGACCATTTTCTGTGTGTTGAAGAAGTCGTTTTATTGAAGTGACCTTGGAATTAGCATTTATGTGACTTTTTAGGTGTTTTGTGGCGCGGTTGTTTGTTTCCAAAAAAAGTACTTTGGTTACGCATGGTTGCATGCGCCGACTGGCGCCGACACAACAAATCAAGAAAACAATATATTATGCAAAGGTCATGAGGTTTCATACCTGAACTCCTTGGTTGCCCGTCTACGCCAGGGATTCCACCCCATTTTAATCACATGACTAATCGGTGACAATGTTGCGATGTCGACGAAAATGTTGTGATGACAAATGACAATGTTGTGACATCAATAACAAACAAATACCATGCATTTGCTACATAATTGCTCGAAACCATGCGAAATGCCATAGTTCAATGCTTATGGCCGTCTATTTAACGCTCTCCCCAGTGGCCCTGCGGACACATACCACGACCGAATCGGCCCCCAAACGCGCGTCGCGCTTGGACCCGGCCGTCGAATCCGTCGGCGGCGCGCTTCTTCGGCTCCGGCGTCCCGCCTGGCTCTGGGGTGTGTGGCAGGTCGCCACCGCTGGCCACCACCAAAGGCCTGGGCGATTGAGTCCCATGTGTCTCTGAAAAGAAAGAACCGTCAAAAACAAAGAACCTGCTCAATCAGTGTAGAACCAGGACAGTGTTACACTACCCATATCTTACTTATGGTCGAAAATCATATGATAAGATATGACAAGCACTCTTTCCCCACTGACAGGGGGCTTTGCTCAAGCTCTCCTCCTATGTCGACAAACCCAAATCCCCTACAATTCTGTCACTTTAGACTCCCTTTACAACACACGGTGTCAATGTTTGATGCTAAACCCATGTACTTGATCAATATTCGTTCATCCTGGAATGGCCATTCTTCGCGGAAAAAGGCGGATCTTTCGCGGCCTCATCGCGAAGCATGGTCCTACAACCATGTAATATACCACTAACGATATGGTTATAACTTATAACATACTGTGACTAATGAACCCAAAGTGTCCAGGCTTGCAGTACCTCAGTAGTAGTTTGTGCACGTGATCTAACGTACCCCACCAGCTGAAAGATGTGTTTTGTTACATCTTGTATCATTCTGTTACATGTGTCCATGCATGTCTCACGACATGGCAGTTGTCTCCTGACACGGATCACGGTCTGGTTGTATCCTCTGTTAAACGCCCTCAGCCCGCCACACACTTGGGCTGTCTTCCTCCGTCGTGACACCTTCGCAGGCATCGCTCGGGCATTCGCTCCATCCCCAAAAGGAACGCCAACTTCCCGCTTCCGGAAGATCGAAACACTGATCCGGCTGGGAATCACAGGAATCACAGGTAAACACGCAGGTAAACACTCCATGGCCACTTGGTTTTTAACTTCTGCGCTGGTCATCCCAACCAACGATGTTGTTCAGCTCAGGCCATGCCACCTGGCCCATTGGATTTCGATCGAATCCCAGATAGCGCCGTGGACCAGAGACCAACCGTTCACAAGGGACGGGCCACGGGGGCCACCAAGACACTAACAGTCGCCAAGTGATGATCCAAGCATGACCAACATAGAACTTTTGCAGTTGACATACGCGATCTGCACCGGTATGCCAGCTGTGCCATAGAACACGAGGTATCATTCATGCCCTCCCCGCATAAGACACCCATGATAGTTGATAGTCACACACCGACAGAAGTAGAAGTATGATGTAAGCTGTTGGTTTAATGATTTATTACGACAAACCAAATGCCAGTACCCAAGTGTCACTAGAGTCACTATATCAACCAAAGCTGGTTCACCTGAAACCACCAACCCCCCAAGCCACGAACCCCAACAGCTCTGACCTCTTGGGCCCTGCGTTCTCCCCACCCTTCAGCCTGGCCGGTCAGTGCTGGTGCCGATCCTTAGTGCGTCGTCCGGGGAGTGGGAGGTGTCATCCGGGGGTCTCTCCTTAGTTGCGAAAAGCTTGGGCAAGAAGAATAAGTACAAATACATCATATATTCTTACTGAATACGGTTATACTATGTTATACTTATTTAGTTTCTGGAGGGGAAGCATTTGTTTAGAGGGCCAAGGCATGGCTGGGACAAAGGAAAGTGGTCTTGGACAAACACCCCATTCCATGTGAGTGAGCGAAACTGTACCCCGTCTGCATCCCCATGGGTGACTGGTAAGTTCCCATGGGTGACTGGCAGTTGGGGTCAGCCATCGTCCTCTGCAAGCGTTTGAAGCGTCGGAAGCCGCTGATGCACACATCAACTGACATCAAGCGTCGCCAGAAGAAGGAAGCACTGGCAACTGTGAATCCATAACAGCAAGTCCGCCAGCACTGCCGGCCGATTTGGGGAGTTCTTATGAGTTCTTCAATGTTCTTCAGTAGGCGGTGGTGACCTCTCCTCCTTCAACTGTAGTGTTGGTGATTAACATGTGGTGACTGATGATGACTGTGTCCACCACTACAGTTCAGGCATCGGAGAAACTCCTCCCAAAACCAAATGTCGTCGTCATGCTGGAGAATACGCTCCGGCTACGCTCGGCGAAGATGTGTGAAAGACATTTCAACCAACCTCTCCTGGTCCCGCACAGACGCACAGACCACCTGGGAGGCCGTGAGGCCGTGCAGCTGGTCGACGACTTACGGCTGGTCAACCAGGTGCAACCCGACAGCGTCCTCGCGATGGCCAAAAGGAAGACGACAGAAGCTCAACCAGCTGAGGAACATCCAAAGAAGGCAGGTCGTACCATCAGAACCAGTTCCTAACAAGCCACCGAGCATCACGAGCAGCTCCTGTGAAAGCTGACTGGCTTGCTTTGATATGGGTGTAGGTCATGGCACCAGGATCGGTCTTTCCCATCCTCCATATCGAGAAACGTTGAAGCTCCAAGCCTTGCAATCTGCCTTTGACCAATCCCCCCGTCCTTCCTTCCTCGAAGGGCGGCTCCATGTCTACCACGCATCCGGTGCGGTTCCGGCATGGCCGGAGCGGTTCCGGCCCTCGCGCCGCACCGAATGGCCATCGGACCCGGACGCGCGAGTGCGCTGAGTGCGCTGAGTGAGTGCACCCAGTTGCACTGAGCACTTGGGCCGAAGGCACCCGGGCCTTCAGCGACACTCGGCTGGAGGTGTTGTGGTCGAATTCCACTGGGCTGTCTGGTGTAGCTGGAGGGGCGAGCAGCTTGACCATCCGAGACATTCACACTCTGCTGCGGTCTGGATGCCCTCATCTTCACATCTCTTCCATCAACAGCCTTCGCGCCCGGACGCGGGTGGACGAACCCTCTCTGGACGACCTCGGTTTCATCGCGAGGACGAAGCGTTCGAGGCTGCCAGCGTTTGAGGCTGCCAAAAGCATCCTGACCTTCCAGTTCTTTCCAGCGGTTACTACTTCCATGCCATCGTTTCATTCATTCACCACTGACAAATATCGGATTCTTAGTGTTTCGCTCGGGTTTTGCGGGGGAGAATGGGGGAGGGTGCCATCCGAGGAAAACAGAGAGAGGGAACCTGCCGGCCTCGCCCGTCCACAAGCCAGCCCCGTCTGCCAAGGTACACAGCGGGGCTAGGGCCGGCCGGAAGCGATCCTGTGCCATGCTCAAGTCAGGATGGCGGGGAAGTACTTGTGTGGGTAGTAGTGACTTGTGACTCGTGCTAATGATGACACAAGTTCAAAAATACTGGAGTTCTAGTTCGATCTTGCACATTGGTAAAGAAACGTATATGTTACCGTTGCCAATTCAATGTATGAATCATTATGTTTCGAGCGATCTTGTTAGCCACAAAAAAAAGTAATATATATATATATTATATTGGGTACAGTATACTGTATCCTATTACTAGTAACAGTGGACTATGGTTAGTAAGGCCTTTCTCTAAAATTGTGATCATATATTATAATGATAACCATAGTGCATTACATGACATCACCAGTCACCAGACCAGCTCCTATCATCTTCTATCTTCCAACCAAACAGATTGTTGCTGCCATGATTTGCGTACATTGTTACTCCAGCATCCCTCCAAAAGCAGCACCAACCAGTGAGGACATGGACTGGACCGCCGGACCAGCAGAGGTCCGGCGTTTGGACTGCTCTGCCCACTGCTCCACACGGTCCGCATGTTAGACAAAGGAACGGTTGTTGGCTCAAAGAGTGGAAGTATTTCAAGTCTCTCCAAAAACCTCAATGTGATTCGGTGCGTTCGCTGGTGTTCACATGCGTTTGCAATCTTCTCTCCAAATCGTCCAAAGCCATAGCAGCCACGTCTTTGCCACTCGACAGCACCCCCCCCGCCCGTGGGAACGGCGCGCCAAAAACGGCGCAGAGCGCGCCTATCGTGCCGATCACTGGCCCTGTGGGCACCACACCTGAGGACGATGTCTCTGCGGAGGGGGAGCCTCTCACCAGAGCAGCCCAAAAGCAGCGGAGCGTCTCGAGAGCCTCTCTGCAAATGTGTTCGGCTAAAAAGGACGTCCAATTTCCAGGCGCTCCGAGTCATCCAAACAATCCCCGCATGAAAAAACGCAGCGGTTCTGCGTTCTGGAAGGCAGTGACCCCAGTGGTCTGTGGCTGGTCATTTCTGGTTGCATCGGGTAAGGGTGTACGGTCTACCGCTAGAGTCTTTTGGAAAACCAACTAGACGACAAGGGGGAGTCTGCACGGCGGCGGGGACGTGTGTCCAGGGATTCATACTAAGAGTGAACAAGTTCCAGTGACTTTTTTGAGGCATCATGTTCACAAAAATGCCCTCAGCATGGTGAAGGGTCGCTTGAAACAGAAACAAACCATGTGTTGAAGGCTCCGCAACAGTGACAGCAGCGATGCTGCTGTGCTTTTGTGGGACCACCCAGACCTCCATCGCACAAAGAGGTCACCGAGCTACGCCAACCCCAAACGCCCACCACTCAAGCATCTCATCCAAGCTACGGCCACCCTTGAGCGCCACCTTGGCCACATCCTCGGCCGCATCCTCTGCCACTGCGGCCGCGGAGACGCCGTAGCTGGCCTGGTCGGTGTCAACGATTTGGGGTGAAATGGAATGGCCAGAAAATCCAATGAGAACACTCTGCAAACCAGGTCGGAAAAACACGGAAAGCGGAGCAGCAACATTTTATTGCTGCAGGGTAGTCGGACCTAATTTGTTCACGGTTTTTACGGTGTTTTACGCACACTACGCAGAAGACCACCTGCCCAAGTCGAACGGCAGAGAAACCATACACTTGTCGGACCTAAGTCTGTCCGGTTTTTACGATGTTATACGCACATGACGCAAAAAGACTACCTGCCCAAGTCAAACGGCAGAGAAAAAGCAGCCAAGTGGACGAACATCGCCGCAAAAAAGTAAAATAACAGCAGCAAAGCCTTCAACATAGATCCCACGGCCCCAATCACGTCCAACATACTTACCTCCACGAGAAGACTAAGAGAGCCCCAACATTGGGCGAAACGTGCCAACATGGAGAAGGATATGCCCTAAGAATGCACCAAGATCCCCGAAGATTGGCGCAAACATGCCCCAAATTTGACTGCCCATTCGGGCTAGCTTTCGTAAGCAACAAAAACGACAAAAAACTGTCAAAACCACCTTTCTTACACTTGTCGGACCTCATGTTTCATGGATTTATGGTGTTTTACGCACAGTACGCAAAAGACCACCTGCCAAGTCAAACGGGGCAGAGAAAAAGCAGCCAAGTGGACCAACATGGCCGCAAAACAAGTAACATAACAGCAGCAAAGCCTTCAACATAGCCCTGGTCCAACCCCACGGCCCCAATCACTTCCAACATACCTCCACGAGAAGCCTCAAGAGAGCCCCAACATTGGGTGAAATGTGCCAATATGGAAAAGGGTATGTCCCAAGAA